GGGTGGAATTCCTAATGAGCTGTACCACTACCTCACAGGTAAATTGTTTATATTTTGTAGTTAATACACATTTCATGAACAGTATTGTATTACATAAGCGTATTTCTGCCACACCAGAAAAAAATAAAATGGGAAATATGAGCTTACACCCATATAGGCTTACACCACACTAATAATAATAACCAAGATGGCCACAAAACACATCATGACATAGTTTCAAAAACTATCATTTCAGAGCATTTAGTTTACATAACATAAGTGTGCTGTTGTGATAAAGTATTCTCATACTTTGCTGCCAAGCATCTCCCCTCAAGCATCATTATAATACTAACTGTTTTATAGGTTTGGGTCACGGGACTGTGGCTTTGCTCTGGATGAAGCATCAACCCACATTTGTCAAGACGGGCATCAGACAGAAGATCCATGTGGTGATCCGGACATCAATGACTATTTTCAGCAGGCAATGCAACAACATGGACTTCAACATCCAGATACCTGGCAAGCAGCATCCCAGCTGTTGATTACACTGAAGGGAATAGCTGGGCTGTGAATGGGACAGTACCTTCAATTGGGCAGCTGTGAGCCCTAACAGAGTTGGCACAAGACATTTGAGGATTTGGGAAACAGTGATTTATTTGCATTTAAGAAAATAAATGTTTATTCTTGTGAAAACGCTGCAAAACAGTATTGTGTTCCTTAAACATATTAGCACTACTAATAACGTTGTCTTTATAGACGTCTAAAGAAAACTCTGAAACCGCTGTATGAAACATATTTTTCCCCAAACCTCAAACATGAGGAACTCCACAAGTTTATAAAACTCCAAAAAGCTATACTGCAGTGATGGTGTTCTACCCCTTTCTTTTACCATTTCACAGACATCCAAAACCTGGGGAGTTTTGGATGCCAAAGTCCATATTGGCTTTGAAACTAGCGTACATTCCTAGTAGTGGAAGTGTTATGGTGTTTGCACAGGTGTTTGCCATGGGATAGATAGTCTCCTGTGAAAACGTGACACATGGATGGGGTGTCATTCCTGCAGGGGGTTCTGTCTTCAGGCCCGTGATGAACATGAATAACTCCTCCAGTGACACTGGTCCTTGTTCTGTGAAACAAAGAGCTGTCATTAAATATATTAACATTCATGTAATAACAGCAGATCCTATTCTGATCAGAACAGTATTTTACTGCACAAACCTTCACAGTCCATCAGATAGTCTGCCCAGAAGCTGAGTGCCACGGTTTCTGTAGTCCTCCTGTTGCTCCCTGCTGGACTGAGCTGTGGTAAGAAGAGTCGTTTCACTTCAACTGAAGTCAGCCTCTTGTCCGTATGACACAGCACTGGCGCCAGTACACTCGGATGTTGGCAAAGGGCATCCAAAAAGTGTAGGCTAGCCAGTCCAGCTTTGAATCTGTTCAAGAATACAGTGAATTGTTACAGGCAGTAAAACATATGCAATTTTAAGGGTTATATATCTCCAAGTAGTATTTAAATACTGTGAAAACAATAACATGATACTGTATATTACTATGAAACACTTATTTTCATAATGTTTAGACAGCAACAATTTTCAAATCATTGTCTGAACTTGACCAATAAAGCACCTAGCCTGTTTTTCATGTTTCAGGCTCGAAAATGACATGCCCAAAACAAATGACTACAACTTAACTTCTAAAAGGGTTATATGAATAATTTCTTTTATCAAAGCAAGGTTACATCTGTGAGTTGGATGTAGAAGTGTCAGAATCAATATAAATGTTTTTTATTTTAAAGAAAATTCAGATTTTACATAGTAAAAAACTGTAAATTATAGTGTCCGTCCAAAAATTATTTTTTACAGATAGTGAAAACTACCCTTGGATGATGGGTTAGTAGACTAAAAGCTTTAGGAATCCAAAGTACAACATATAATAAGTACCCTGTATCAAGATTGATGCAAAACAAGTGACATTTGACCTTTTTAGAGAGGTTTAGCCAAAACCACCCCACCTCTGAGGTGATTTGGGTGAAAATGGTTTTTTTTTCTCTATCTCTGGCTCACCTTGCTCGATTTTGAGGGTTGACACACCCTTCTGACCGTTAGAGCCAATAGAATCGAAGGGGGAGGCTCACACACACACACATTGTAAAGAGAAAAGGTGGGGGCTTCGCGTTTGAAAATCTAGGTTTGAGTGGAGCTACATTCTAGCTCTGGCATTTGGAAACTAAAACGCAGTTTTATTGCTTATGGATTATCAGAAATAATTTCAAAGAAGGCACAGATACATAGGATGAACCTATGGATTAACTGCAGCATCGTTTTATCGTTTTAATGCCATTGAAGACCAGTTTTGACCAAGGTAAGCCATGTTAGCGTTTCTAGCTACTTAGCTCCACATGTTATGATGTACGCTTTCGTTTATAGCGTCGCGAATGTTTATCACTGAGTGTTGTGGAGGGCACCGTTAGATTCAGTGTCTCCAGGACACCAAAAATGAGTGGTTGGCTGTGCATCTAGGATAAGTAATAAGGGAGTTAGGAGTGAATTTAAGTGCCGTTTCAGGTTAAATATTTTCGCTCGTGGCTAATTCAGAGGCTGAGTGCTAGCATTGTGGGTTTTTTTGGAAAAAAAAAAATTAAAAAGATCAGTTACATGGATATAAAACATTCATAGTTTATTAAATATTAACATTCCTTAGACGTTGTTTCCTGCAAATAACGCGTTTTTCCACCCGGTACCGGGCGGGCCGTGCGTAACAGGTTAATATTATAAGTAGAGTAAAAGTAGCATCAGCAGCAGCGGTAATAAGGATGTTTTAATAAGGCCTCAATCAACATTAAATTCCTTTTAATTAAAGCACCTATCATTACCTTTCAATTACACTGTGATTCCTGCCGATGGTGTACCAGGTAAGGTATTCTGCCACCACAGTGTGTTTTTCTTCAACGGAGCTGACATGCCTGAAGCAGCCAGCAGTCTGAAGCATGGAGCTGTGTTTCAGTAACACATCTTGCAGACTTCAGAGAATGTGCCAACTCAATCTAAATGGAAAACACACACACCATCAAAGATATCCACATAACGGCAAATTATTATAATAGATATCACTCTTCTGATTGGACAAAAGAAAAAAAAACATGTCAAAAGTAGTTGAATGACTGTCAATGTTTAAAAAAAGGAATACTCTAAATTTGTTTTTGAGCATTTCAGATTTTCTGCACACAGTCATTTGAATAAGGGGCTTTTCTGTACACTTAAACACAAGTACTGTGCTTCTTAGCATTTAAAAAAATAAACCAATTTATGACAATGACTGGTGTAGTTTATTGCAATACCTCACTGAGAGCTCTCCCTATCTCATCATCTGTCACATCCGTCACATGTGCACAGAAACCAGGCTGTCCAGCTATGTGGTTCACCAGGTCCCTTGAAAGAAAATGTGGGCCTGGTCCTCCATGAACAATGGACACAGCTATCATCTTCCCTGCCATGAAATATTCATCCTCCCTGATTGCTGGGGGGACAATTACAGTACATCATAATGCCAAAACAAATTCTGTACCCTTGATAATCAGAACGTATTTAACTAATTATATTTAGAGTTGTCTTCATGAGATGTTACAGAAAAATGTAGCTTCATAATATTTGCAGCTTTACATGCAAATTATAGTTGAACTCATTCTTTCTCTTAGATAAAGATTTTACAAATTGATAGCTACTTTCCCTGTCTGTAAAGCACATGTACAAATGTTCCCTGTGGAGTTTTCTTGTAATAAACAAAATGAATGTTTACATTAAAGGTAGTCTGTGATACTCACTATATATCAAACGCGTATTGGCGTTTAAGTGTTACTTTTAAACTCACAAATAATCAGAATTGAATGTAGCGTATAAAAAATGTACAAAGCTAAACATTGTTTACATCAATTTGTACAGACTCGCAGTCTCTTTCATGCCTATGCTGGTGCATTTATGCTACTGGTAGATCATTGAAATATGTATCTTGCAGCGTTCCCATGTTGATGTGGGACAGAACAGGGGCCCAGTCATAAAATAACTGCCACATAACCCTACTAGAGCTAAAAACTCCATAGGGGACCTTTATCTACCCACATATTCACAAAGTTACATTAAAACTGCTAAAATAAATAATACTTCAGTATATTATTCCTCCCGTTGACATAGTAACTATTACCATACTTGAGCTCTGTCACATGATCTATGCAAAATAATCATGATTAAATCCAACTATGCAAGGGCTGGTCTGACAACAAACCTGCAGCATTGTACACCAAGTACCGACTCTGTGGAGGTCCCTCAAAAATAGGCCGAGACTGCAAAAAGCTCATGAGGAGTGTCAGAAATTCTCGCCTTGGTCCACCTGCGTCTATTCCTTCTTCCACAGAGCCTGCATCATCCGTGAACCTCACAAGCAAGTCAGACTTTTCACAGAAGGTTGAACGTCTGAACCCTCTGACAGCTCCATCCCAAACATTTGAGCGAGTTATGTTGAATCTGCTGACAGTGTTGTGGTCTATGGCATCTGCTAAGTTTTCAATAATATGGGCTGCAGATATACTTGTGTCCCTGAAACGACATAAATAGATAACAGAATACAATTAAGCATATCAAATAATGTTCTAGTACAGACTCTGGAAAAAGGACTTTAAATACCATAACACTGATTTTTGTATGTTTCATCAAATGTGATTGAAATGTTTCTTCTAATGTTACCTTGACCTCCAATACCACACAAGTTTTCCATTCAAAGATTAGAGCCAATAAAATTACAATTTACACAGCTTCCTTTGCAGGGTCAGCGCTTATGGGCACAACATTGAAATCTTGACTCCCGTCCTCATCTTCATCAATTACAATGGGAGCATACAACTGTGTGTATGTGCTGCAAAAAACAAAATGTTATTAAAACAATGGTGCACAACACTTTATTCTACACCTTGAATCTTGCATGGTGAATGTTGCAACCTTGCATGGTTGCAAGGTTAAACTAAACATTACCTGTACAATGGGTTGACAGTGGACCTCACAGCAGTCATGTTGGAAGGGGTATCTGGAACACTAATCATGAATCATTAGTGTAGGGTATCTGTCTTATGTAATAATATGAATAAAGATCAGTGGCTCAAGTCAATACCTTGTAGCAGTGTTCCTCCAACCTTGAGAAGTGCCCTCATTGGGGTCATCAGTGTCCGAAATGAGTATCTGATTTGAGATTAACATTTTAGCATACATGTGAACAAATCACAATATTACATACAGTTTAAAAACGCTTTGATTGTACATCACAATAATACATTAAATGTCTAATGTAATAGTTTTACCAAAAAGGCATTTTTTTAAAGTTTATTTCTTTTAACTTAAATGTTTTACATGGATTATAAGGAAGGAAACAGCACAAATACCCTACCTCTTCCTTTTCACTCTGATATGATGCCCTGGAAGAGCTGTTTGAAGGAAAGAAGGATGGAAGAAAGTGAGGGAGGCAGACAGAGAAAAAAAAAGAAGAAACAAACAAATACAGAATTAATGCACGAGTATTTGTCATGACTGACATGAACATGTTTTTTTTAATCCAGTCCAATTCATGCATTTCGATTTAAGTATTACATTTATAATTGGCTTGTGGTGCAGACAAATTCCATACATTGTGTTCTTTGGGATATCATTTCCTAAGATTGTAGGTGGATCCACTCTGATAGTAGATTGTGGCCAAGGAGGAATAATAACAACATTTTCTAAATATATAGAACATTAGCCTTAATGAAATCAATAACCTTGGTTCACATGGTTATTTTCTTTTTGCTATTTTTCTTTCATTTTCCCCCTTTTGTTGATTGTTATTTTATTACATTAACATGTCATGTAACTGTCTTTTTTAAATATATTTTTTGTATATATATATATCAATTATGTATATTTCTAACACCTGAAATGCAGCTGTATTAGCATACTTACAATACAAAAATTAAACGTTTGGTTGCACATGAAAGAAGGGATATTCACATCATGTAGTCAAAGAGATTAACTCTGATAACGGGTCCAACAAATGCAGTCAAAACCCTTTAAAGAGTAAGTCACCACTGCATTTTTCCAAAGGTCAAGAATGAACCTATTACCTTGTTTTCTCTGCAGTGCTTTTTGGAGTACTTTCATGCTCAGGTTCCCAGGGCTGAAAAATACAGTAAAAAAATTATTCATTGTGCAGCCCCAGTGACCTTACTTGATCTGTAAATGCGGCATGTGTCGCCAGACTTTTATATTATCCAGTTTAGCCATTTTATGTGAATCCACTTAATAATAATTATGCACCTTTTGGTTGGGAAATTGACATAAAAAGTTGATCTGCTTGTGTGTGTCCAAACGTTCTACAAAATCTTATGAAGTATATGAATTCATTTGGAAATGATGCGCCTTTTTGCAATAAGCCACTACCACTGCTATGCCCCCTTTGAGCCAATTGGCATGAACATTAACACACACACACACACACACACACACACACACACACACACACACACACACACACACACACACACACACACACACACACACACACACACACACACACACACACACACACACACACACACACACACACACACACACACCAGTGTGTCAGCAAGGTCAACCTCAGTCACTCTTTTGCGTCTCATGGTGACTTCCTGATCAGAGTCTGATGCATCTTGTTGTTCACCTATGGGAAAGCAGCTTGTCAGTGACATTTTGATTGCTGACCAACCTGAAATGAAATCTGCATAGCCTGAAAAAAAGGACTTACCTTTGTCATAATCTGATTTAAGACATATAAAGAGAGCAATTCGGTTGTAGGTTTTCCCTATTTCCGTTTTATACTCTCTCAGATTAAATGGCGTTGAAGTACCAGGAATATTAATGACTTCTGATGTGTCTGGGTAAATGAGGACATAGGGGCCCTCATCCATATCCGAATTAAAGTCAGTCATCTTCTTGACTGCCAATCGATGCAACCCAGCTGCGTCAGTGTCAGGATCCAGAATCAGTGGAAGAGTTTTCCCTCTGACAGGTTTCATGATGTCCTTTTGAAGACACATGATTCCAATATTTATCTGTGCAAAGAAAATCAATTAGGTGTAATCAACTTGGTACATGAAACCACACAATTAACAGTGGATAGTAACTATTATTAAGTCATTATGTGCTGTAATACCTCAGATAAGTGTGCAGACCCTGTGTAGCAGGAAATGCTTAGAAAAAAACACTATACAACAATGTACATACATGCATGCATGTATGCACAAGTCACAACTTCCATAATTATTCCCTGATTGGCAAACAGACAAACAAAATAAAATGCCAATAACAAAAACACTGCTAAAATCGCTATTCACTTTTATGCAATTCATAGCAGAAACGGATGTAATACATTATTTTAATTAAACGATTTCTAGAAAGTTGTCCACAGTTACAAATAATATTATTTTATAAATCCTGACTTGATTAGGCTAACAAATCCTTATTTTTTGTGCTTTAATAACCCCTTCATAAATAAGGAAAAAAAGGATGAAGACGCTTTACCCACTTGGATACATCACATAGGCCTGCTTATAACTTATATATTCTCAACCATGGTGATGTTTGACAAATGCGGATAACCAAGAAGATTTTACACGACTAAATACAACAACTTCTTAAACCAAACCTGCTAGTGCATCTTTTTGAACTTAGCTGACCATGACCAAGACGTTTTAGAGTTAACCACATACATGATGTAATTTTCAGACACACATTTTTCCCTTTAATCATGATTTACTAATAAAGCTGAGCTGTCCAATTGTAACACAGTAAAAGTAATGCTTTTATCACCTAAAACAGGTACCATCTATCTTGCCTAGTAAACCATATCTTCCAGCACTTCCTCCCCCATATTGGCTACCTGTACTGTACTTGTCTGTTCTTTCTTCTTCACTTTTCTCTTCTGGCAAGAGAAATTAAGCCTTTCGTCTGACTTCTTACTTCTGTACTCGAGGAACGTTTTCAGGGATGGCATTTTTGGGGCAGCAGCTAACGTTACACAAACAGAGAAAAACAATGTTATGATAACCAAGCTGAACTTAGCCTGGGTTATGTTTTTTTATTCACATTATATGCGAGTGTGAGTTCAAACCTTATATTTATGGTTCAAACATGAATCACGAGACAGGCTTAACGGTTTTACAGAGCATTGTTACACAGTTTGAGTTGATGTTTTACCTGGAATCGGGTCACTGAAGTCCTGTTCATGTTTAGCTTCTTTTAATGCAGCCAATGACTGTCCACAAGAACTGCAAAAATGTTGAAGTGACTGAAATGTCTTCCCACAACGCGGACAATACATCATTTCAGAGTCAGAAGTCGCGCAATGGGCGAAAACACGCCGAGTAAAACCGCCCGGATATTCTACACTTCCGGTCGCTGACCAATCATGAAGCGAAATTTCTCTTGACTGGCAGCAAAAACAACCAATCACAGCAGTGCTTCTCTGGCTGGCTCTGTCCAATCACAAACAAGAAGTGTTCTCCCTAAAGGAATACCCTTTCCGTCCAATGTGAAATGCTGTTGTGTTTTGTGAAATGCTGTGGTGTTTTCTGAAATGCTGTTGTGTTTTGTGAAATGCTGTGGTGTTTAGTGAAATGCTGCGGCGTTTAGTGAAATGCTGTGGTGTTTTCTGAAATGCTGTTGTGTTTTCTGAAATGCTGTAGTGTTTAGTGAAATGCTGTGGTGTTTTCTGAAATGCTGTTGTGTTTTGTGAAATGCTGTGATGTTTTGTGAAATGCTGTTGTGTTTTCTGAAATGCTGTTGTGTTTTCTGAAATGCTGTGGTGTTTTCTGAAATGCTGTGGCGTTTAGTGAAATGCTGTGGTGTTTTGTGAAATGCTGCGGCGTTTAGTGAAATGCTGTTGTGTTTTCTGAAATGCTGTTGTGTTTTCTGAAATGCTGTGGTGTTTTGTGAAATGCTGCGGCGTTTAGTGAAATGCTGTTGTGTTTTGTGAAATGCTGTGATGTTTTGTGAAATGCTGTTGTGTTTTCTGAAATGCTGTTGTGTTTTCTGAAATGCTGTGGTGTTTTCTGAAATGCTGTGGCGTTTAGTGAAATGCTGTGGTGTTTTGTGAAATGCTGTTGTGTTTTGTGAAATGCTGTTGTGTTTTCTGAAATGCTGTTGTGTTTTCTGAAATGCTGTGGCGTTTAGTGAAATGCTGTGATGTTTTGTGAAATGCTGTTGTGTTTTCTGAAATGCTGTTGTGTTTTCTGAAATGCTGTTGTGTTTTCTGAAATGCTGTGGCGTTTAGTGAAATGCTGTGATGTTTTGTGAAATGCTGTTGTGTTTTCTGAAATGCTGTTGTGTTTTCTGAAATGCTGTAGTGTTTAGTGAAATGCTGTGGTGTTTTCTGAAATGCTGTTGTGTTTTCTGAAATGCTGTAGTGTTTAGTGAAATGCTGTTGTGTTTTCTGAAATGCTGTTGTGTTTTCTGAAATGCTGTTGTGTTTTCTGAAATGCTGTGGCGTTTAGTGAAATGCTGTGATGTTTTGTGAAATGCTGTTGTGTTTTCTGAAATGCTGTTGTGTTTTCTGAAATGCTGTAGTGTTTAGTGAAATGCTGTGGTGTTTTCTGAAATGCTGTTGTGTTTTCTGAAATGCTGTAGTGTTTAGTGAAATGCTGTTGTGTTTTCTGAAATGCTGTGGTGTTTAGTGAAATGCTGCGGCGTTTAGTGAAATGCTGTTGTGTTTTCTGAAATGCTGTAGTGTTTAGTGAAATGCTGTTGTGTTTTCTGAAATGCTGTTGTGTTTTCTGAAATGCTGTGGTGTTTTGTGAAATGCTGTTGTGTTTTCTGAAATGCTGTTGTGTTTTGTGAAATGCTGTTGTGTTTTCTGAAATGCTGTTGTGTTTTGTGAAATGCTGTTGTGTTTTCTGAAATGCTGTTGTGTTTTGTGAAATGCTGCGGCGTTTAGTGAAATGCTGTGATGTTTTGTGAAATGCTGTGATGTTTTGTGAAATGCTGTGGTGTTTTCTGAAATGCTGTTGTGTTTTGTGAAATGCTGTTGTGTTTTCTGAAATGCTGTGGTGTTTTGTGAAATGCTGTTGTGTTTTGTGAAATGCTGTTGTGTTTTGTGAAATGCTGTTGTGTTTTGTGAAATGCTGTTGTGTTTTCTGAAATGCTGTTGTGTTTTGTGAAATGCTGTTGTGTTTTCTGAAATGCTGTTGTGTTTTGTGAAATGCTGCGGCGTTTAGTGAAATGCTGTGATGTTTTGTGAAATGCTGTGATGTTTTGTGAAATGCTGTGGTGTTTTCTGAAATGCTGTGGTGTTTTGTGAAATGCTGTTGTGTTTTCTGAAATGCTGTTGTGTTTTGTGAAATGCTGCGGCGTTTAGTGAAATGCTGTGATGTTTTGTGAAATGCTGTTGTGTTTTGTGAAATGCT